TCAAAAGTTTTTGTCATAAATTAGGAAAAATATTAATTACAACTATTTTCTTTTACGAAAACGTTAAAAATCATATTATTTTATAATATTTTAATTCTTTTTATAACCCGGATTTTTTTATTTCATTTTTCAAACAGTATAAATGTAAGAAATATGCTTTTTTTAATTTTGACTGTTTTTTGCTACTATTGTACAGCCATTACCAAGCTCCTAATATTGGCATGTAATTTCACGATGTGAATTCTAACGGGGTCGATATTCTCAATAGCTTGGAATAACTTTTAAACGACCTCGTTTTCGAAACAATAAAACTCGGTCGCACATTCGGCCAACTGAGTTCATACAAAGGTAGGAATTTTTACGGACGTATATAAAAGGCAGACTAGCATTCATTTCTCAAATTCCTTTCCGAATGTTTCACCGAATGAGTATATCACGAGTAAAACACAAGATAATTAATTCCGATAATTAAACATATAAAAATAATTGCTGTTAAAAAAGAAACGATGTAATGCGACATGCGATTTTTTTGACACGCTTGAAAGACACAGCAAAGGAGATAGGGGTTAATAATATTATCTCTGGACGAGATATTAATACACTTTCATTTACGAGTCTTCTTAATGACGAGACCTCACTCGTATCAGCACCATGTATCAACATGTTTAACACCGTAGTTTCTAGTTGAAACACGAACCACGCGGCAATTTCAGTGGAAATTGCCGCGTTTTAATGGCTCCCAACTGATCCTTTAAACTTCCATGCTGCATTACGCTAAGTAGCTTAATAATTAACTCCTATATGGAACTCGCGTCGCAATAAAATTTATCGCAAATTAATTGAAAAATAATAATCTCGCGCGCGTTTACACGCGCGTCGTTCAATCCGTCATTTAATGTACATACACATTGCTAAACAATTCGCTAATTAATACGTTCACATATTAAATCCTCGTTAGACGAAACTTCAACGCAAGTTGATTTAACGGAGTTAACCTTCTCTGTCAACATTTGACGTGCATTTTGCAATACGTGTGTTTATTTAAGTTTTCTAGAACCGCGGGCTAAGAAGAATAATAAACAGATTCCCGTACAAACAGCCTGTATACGATGACGCATGTCAATTTCGCGTTAAAAGATTTCAAGGTAGCAGCTAATCTGGGAGCCAAATCAACAGGGCAACCGCGTATTAATGAATCTTTTGTCCGCTTTACATAAGAATACACTTTATATGCGGATATCGCACATAAATGTCATCTTAATCTCACCTTGACCCGATCACTCCATCTCGAGATGAATCTTGGAGTGAGATAGCTGCGATTTTTTTCACTGATTCACAAATCGTAAATACAGAGATTGACTTCTTACTGTTTACGACTTTAAATCGCTCAGATATATTCGCACATTTATAGATAACATTTTTTTTTTTATTGAAAATATTTTCAACTTTGTAGAGTTGTCTAGCACATGTGCATCTAGACCTTTAATTATACGATTTATTTTTTTATATAGTTAATACTGACAAGAGAAGTTTCGAAAATTGCGAAATATACAAGGTGGGGCATTTAAAGTGTTACAAGCTATTATCTCTGAAAGTACACATATATATTATTAATTGTTTTCTTTATACCAATTGATTTGTCTCATTATTCTGTACATAAAAATATTACGGTAAGATTATCGAAAACTAAATATTTTACGAGATATTTTATTTTTTATATCAAAATATGTCAGATTAAGATATAAAATAACTCGAAAAATATTTAATGAAAAAATACTTTATTATAGCGTTTTGAAAAGCTCTCGAGATAAGCTACAAGAATATGCAATGAAAAATGGGGATTTCCATTTAAGAAATTAAAGGTGACCTTCACGTGACCTTCAAACGACTATGCAAGGTCGAATCAATGTCACCTTCTTATGTCCCCCTTCGAGTAAAATAACTTTTGTCTGAAATATTTTTTGCTATAATGTGTACTTTCAGAGATAATAGCTTGTAACACTTTAAATGCCCCGCTGATCTGTTGACAATCGTAATAATATAAATTAAAATTGTATGATATAATGTTACGTCAAGCATATAGAGGCAATTTTCGCGTGTATGTAAAACATGGAAATCCGTCCGAACACACCAAGATTATACCGATTTCAATCGTTGAATTTAACCTCTTTTCTCCATTAATTTTTTCGGAATATTTCTCTTGTACCGTGCGGGTTATCTCCTCGATCGAAATCCATTAAGGAAACGTGAGATGTCTTATCGAAGCCTGCCCTCGCGATCATTTGCTGCGACGAAGGCCGTAGAACCGAGCGCCGCTCTCGATAATATCGTTTAGCACACACGTGTAGATTTCATGGAGGACTTACCTTGTAACTGCCAACCGCGTGCGCGCCATCGTAGATGTAGAGATGGTCGTTACAGTCTAACTGCAGCTGATCGAATCGGAGCATGAAACGCTGGAGGATGCTGTGAGTCTGGAAAGTAATGGCGCAATCGAGGTCCCTCTCATTTTGCGACGTAAGAACGGCGCCGTCTATCTTCCTGTAGAGGTCCCGCAGGAAGTACTTCTTGCAGACGTCGCTCATCTGGTCTGCAAGGAGAACGGAAATAGGCGAATGTGAGAGTTAATCGATTCGATTTGGGCTCGCGATATAAACATTTTCCGACTATCACGCTATTATTCGAATCACGTAATGGGGAAAATAGGATTTATAAAATTTGATAAAAAATTTTATTGTTGTTTTGCTCAAATTATGACATGCTTCAGAAATGTAACGATTTATGAATCATAAACTAAGATAAAGATCTTTTTATCGAATTTAAACATCCCTTTTTCTCTCTACATACAAGATATCCCATAAAGACCGTAACAACTCTTAAGGGTAAATTCTTGAAATCATTTGGAGACGATTTTTCCTCAGCGAAAATGTCGGGAAAAATCATCATTTTCTGCAAGTTTCCAATTCTTTCCATCATATATCTTTGTAACTAAGTCTTAAATTAAAATTCTTTCTCTCTATTAAAGTAAACTCTATCTGAAATTAAATAAGGAATGTAGTTTTAACTCTTTATAACATTTAGTTTGCAGAAAGCCCTTCTTCTTGAATCGCTTATAACACGGAAATTATTGATATTTTTGCTGAGAAAAAATCATCTTAAAATGATCTCAAGAATTTATTCTTAAGCGTTACGGTCTTTACGGGACACCCTATATGTACAGAGTGTTCCAGATCAGGTCAATCAAACTTCTTATAGGAAATTGAATTTGGAACAAAAAAGTTCCTATAAACATAGGTCCGGAAACGCTTCGTTAAAAAGTTATAGCTAATAAACTCTCTGTAAGTAATTATAGTTATGATCAAAATTTAATAAAAACATTTTTATGTTTGCATTTGCAATGTTTGTACTACGAATGTAGTGTTTACACAAAGACCATCAAAAGGTGGTTTTTTCAAGTTTCTGCTTTTTTCATTGTTTTGAGGTTATTTTCTTTTGAACGCTTTATCAGAATTAAATAAAATTGGTGTAATTTAGTTTGTTATTTAATTACCCATCAGATTTATTGTGTTACTTTTTTCAAATGAATGAAAGATTTTAAAGTTATTTTTAAAAAGCGTAAAAAAAATGTAATTTTTCGAAGTTTATTAGCTATGACTTTTTGACGAAGCGTTTCCAGACCTATGTTTATCGGAACTTCTTTGTCCCAAATTTAATTTCCTATAAGACTCCGAAGTTTCATTGACCTGGAACACCCTGTATATTCAAAAATAAGATACGAAAAAAGTGTTAGCATCAAAATCGGCTCAACTCAATATTTTCAAAAATAAACAAGAATAAATTTTGAAGTGTACGTTTCGATTGGCCGCAATATTTCGCGTTTTACATTCCCATGGAACATGAAACACGCAATCGCGCTCTCCCTCCATTACACACGCGTTTGAAAAGCCCCCGTATAAAGATGAAATTCACATTTTCAGCGCGGAAAAAATTCCACTTTCGCGCGCGGACAACACGGCCGTGTGACGCATCGTACAAATAACCACAATGCTAGAGTGCGCGATTGCAGCCGGCGGATTTGCATTTAAAACGAATGATAACGAATGCGCGACGACAGTCGGCAGTCGACGCGTCGGGGAAATAAGTTACAGACGCACTTCGGCCCGGGGGCTTGTGCCGGAACGTTATTGCGATATCGCCGCAGTTTCCCCCGACATTATGCTATAACATATTTTGGAGCGGGCAACAGAGGTTGCAGTTCCAGAACTTCGCGCACGTCTTCGTCTCTCTCTCTCTCTCTTTCTCTCTCTCTCTCTCTCTCTCTCGTAGAGTATCCTTCCTTTCTCTTCTCTCCTCCTTCTGTCCCACCTGTTTCCCTTCCCCATTACCATCCCTTTGCAGCTCTTCGCTCTCGGCTGTAACATCGAGAAATTACTTACTCCCAAGACCGGCAGTTTGCGACGTGTGCGTTTGTGCCGGCTAAAGTGCAATTGCAACGCCAGCAACGCGACGCGTTTTCGGTCGTGTCGGGAGTAAATGTGAGTGCGTGATAAATAAACATCCATGGCAAATCCGAGCGTGCGATCAATTACACGTAATAATTTATTAGTCGCTCTCTTT